AAAAAAATCAGTGGACTTCAGTGCTTGAGCTAGAGAAACCAACACCACTGAAAGTATCCGTACACCTCATTCATCATCTTGTCCCCGCTTGTGGGGTATCTGTTGATCCTTTGGAAGGAAATGACAAGGACTGAGTAGCCAGACAGTGCAGCAATGGCTAAGGAAGGATAACAACTCTTTTGCTGCCTCTCCCAAAGTACAGGGCCAAAACAACATAAATGAAGTGCAAGATGCACAAACAGCAGTTGTCAGGCATAGTTGCTACAGACAAGTTTCCTTCCATATACCGCAGATTTGTCATCTGCTTGCAATACTGTAACTAGTGAAGGGTGACGTGGCTTATGGTGGATAGCCCTGTGGGCAGCAAGCAAAAGGCCACACTGTTCCTGAAGGAATTTCAGAAGCTAAAGCCATTGCTAGCTCCCTGACAGGTGAACCTGAAGTGCTCCTTTTGGCTCTGATCCAGAGCTAAATCAGAGCTGCCCAACTCTAATCCACAAGATTTTCCGAGTGCAGAAGGCAGGGGCTGGCTCCTCACAGCGCTGGGCCCGCACCCCTCGCAAGCCTGCTCTCCACAGCGACCACATGCGAGCAACCCGTGTCCAGCCAGAACCACTTGCAAATGGCCAGTCCTGCAGGCAAGGAGGCAAGCAGCACCTTTTCCCTCATGGGCCGTTTGGACTTCCTTTGCTCCCTGCCAGGCTTGCCCAGCTTCCCAACACGAACAAAGCCCTGGGATGGCAGTTTTTCAGGCCATAGTAGGCACAACAAGCTGCCCAGACTCTCCGTATTCAATGCGTCCCACATGTCGCACCAGGGAGGAAGAGGCAGGAAAGAGACACCACAACTGCAGGCACAGAGAGAAAAGGAGCGCCACAGCCACACGGCACCGAGGCCTGCCTGCTGAAAGGAGTGGAGCAAAGCAGCGGCTGCTACGGGAAAAAGAGGACCCGCTCCTGAAGCGGCGCTGCGGCACCGGCGCACCGCGTGCTGTCCTGCACAGGGCCCAGCAGGTCAACTCCAGTGCAAACGTTTTATGAAAGACCACCTTCCTCACACCTCCGTATTGCTCACGTAAAACAGTAACAGAAAAAAAAAAAAAAAAAAAAAAAAGGAGGGATTACTGAGCGGAATGCTCAAGTTTGTGTTCATCAATAAGGAGATTTCCCCACAGTCTGGCTGAAGATCAGGACAAAGGGAGGGGAGACTGAGCAGAGCTATGAGCAAGTGGGACAAAAAGAGCCATCTGCCAAGAGGTAGGGGCCTTTACAAAGGAGGGAAATAGGGGAATTCCCCCACATTCTTCAGCAAGGGGGACAAAGGAGTCAGGTGGCCTTAGGTGAGAACAGATGGCAGGAGGCAGGCCGGGAAGGCTGTAACTTCTGAGTACCTTGGCCAATGGGGAAAAGGAGAGGGCATCCCTCGGTCGGGAAATTAGGATAAAAGGGGGACTGCGTCCTCCAGCAATTTGAGAGACCCCACAGGGATATGCCCCGTGGACTCTCCCTTTATTTGAATAAAGTTTTAGGACTCCTCTGTCTCCTTTTTGGAAATTCAGTTCTTGACAGCGAGATTTTCCACATACTCCCATACCCTGGCTATAAATTTAATTTCTTTTCCTTAGAGGCATCTAAAAGCACAGTGATTAAAACCCCTAAGTTAAAAACCTTAAGTTATAGCTTCAGATGTTCTGTGTTAGTCACATTGATACTGTTATGACCAAGCATGTTCTATTGTCTATTGAATTGAGTTTGGAGTAAATTATATTGCACAAAAACGCACTGTTTTCCTGATCTCTGCTCTTTACATGTAGTTTATTCTAGGGACAACCTGTCTGGGGACCTTGAAAATGAGCAAGCTGCTGTATTTTGGAGAGAGTTACTGCCCTAATCTGAACTTTTGAATTTTGTTCTACAGCTTGATGATTGCACGCTGCAGTTGTCTCACAATGGTACCTATCTGGATTTAGAATCCACTTTAGCAGAACAGCGAGATGAATTGGAAGGTTTCCAAGAGGATGCTGGGTAAGTAAACGTTTACTAAACTTGGGTAAATAAGCATATGATCTGGAAGCATTGAGGTTTTGGGGGCTTTGGTTAGCTTGGTGCATTTAGGCTGCCAAACGGAAAAGAGAAAATACTTTACGTGTGTAAGCACGTTTCCCCCTTCCTAGTTAAGAGTTTTGTTCGTTCTAAATCTATGTTTGCTCTTACAGCTTCTGTAAGAACATGGTGTATGATAAATCTGTCAGGATTCATGTCTTGACTATTCTAACATGGTGCAGCTTTCAGAACCATCTCTGAGAATTAAAAGTGGAAAAAAATGTGGGAACATACAGGTTTACAAATATTTGCTATTAGCATGCCATTTTCTGGGTCTTCTATGAGATTGTTTCATTTAAAATACAAGTGAAGAATTTAGAGCTATTTGTGTCCTTCTGGGCTGCTGTATGGGATTCAATGGCTGTAACCAATGTATGGGCGTGTTGTGGCATAGACTGTATGTGTGCGAGCAAGCAACCTATGCCAGAAGGAAAGCAACTGCAGCCTGAATTGGTTAGGGCTTGTTAATGCTAAAGGATGCATCTCTTCTTTGCTTAATGGTTCCTCTCCTTTTCCTGTCCAAATCTCTTATGTTCTGGAGGCAATAGCTGTCATGTTTGTTTGACTAATTCTTCTTCTATATTTAAACTGTCTGAAGAATACAATATTGTGAAACAGGAACCTTACAGTCAGCTTTGTTTCAGTGCTGCATCCAGTAAATACCGCCAAGAATTTTAGTTAGTGTGTTACAGATACTCAAGTGTGTGTATTTGTGCATGTCTGTTTCATATGTACCACTGTTTATTTTTCTAACTTTTGGAAGATAAACCGTTCTGTTAGAAATGCCCTAAATTACAGAGAAAATTCTTCAGCTGATAGTAGCCAGTACAGCTCCACTGAGCCTCTACTATTTAAATATATTTCATTCCTTGCGAAAAGAAGCATGCAATATGTAAGGTGATGTAGTCAAAAGATTGCAGTGACTCTATCATCTGTGTGTAAATGAGCAACAGATAATTACTTGACATACCTTAATTAGCTGAAGTAAAGGCAGTTAAATATTTTTTGATGAAAATACAGATTTACAGTTTTGAAATAACTTTGTATGTACGATCAAGTTGTCAGGTCACATTTAATTTCCTTTTTTATTGATGTCTGTGTGGTACTTCCATTGCCTTTGATAGCCAAGTGACATCACTATGGTATTAAAAAGTCCGAGACTGGTAGATGCCTATCCTGCCAGATTTCTCACTTTAAACTTTCAAGCTACCTTTCATATTGTTTTGCTTTCTGCTTCTTTTAGGCATTTTATATGTTGTAGGCACATTATGATCATTATAATCAATGATAGAAACTTTTCCCAAAACATTATTTCAATTTTTGTCTGTGGTAGCTATGCTAGAAAAAAAAAAAAAAAAAAAAAAAAAAAAAAAAAAACACTTGAAGCTTTCTTGGAGCTACATGTGCTCCATTCCAATGCACAAAAGCATAACTTAATATTTTGATCTTTTTGTGTGTTTGTGCAAGTCTCCTCTTAAAAGTGAAACCTATTGTCAGTTAAGCTATTAATTCATTTGCATTTTTATTCTGCATGTCTTGTCATAAAAACCTTTCCTCAGCTTGTCTTTGAGCTGCCCCCTGCTAGTGGTGGGTCAATAGGAAATGCTGTGCGGACCCTCCACTGGGTGCAGGGACCTGTGTGCGCTTCTGTGGGGGCTGTGAGGGCTGTGGGGGCATGTGAGGTGCCAACCTCGGCAGGCTGTCTAGGCAGCACAGTGCCCATGCGTTACCCTAGCATGCGTGTATCCTGCCGTGCTGCCCTCGTGAGAGGGTTTGGTTTCTTTTTTATTGCTTCTTTTGTTCCCCTCCCTGGCTGCCCAGAGAGGTTGTGGAGGCTCCTACTTTGGAATTCTTAAAACTCCACGGCTGGATGCGTGTCTGTGCCACGTGCTCTAGGTATCCCTGCTTGAGCAGGGTTGGACTAGATGATCTCCAGAGGTCCCTTCCAACCTCAACCATTCTGCGATTCTGTGAGTCCTGAACTTGGAAAGCTTTGCTAGGCTGCAGTGTGATGCAGCTCAGAGAAGTACAAAACTTTTCATTTAGGAAAAACGGGGCAGAGAGCGAGGAGGTACTGGTCAAGCAGAAAGGGAAGCAAAGGAAGTAAGGGAAGTACCTGACTTTTCAAGTCCTTTTCTGCAAAGCTGTTGACATTTTGAGGGATGACAAGCAAGTTAGCGTTTATGGCACTGTGAAAAAGGCAAGAGTCATCCTGAGATGCTTTGCAGGAATTTAGCCTGTGACATGCAGTGAAATTAGTATTTTTGATACTGGTCAGACTTTGTGCATCCTGTTTTCTGTTCACGTTTCAAGAGATAATGGAAGGAAGGTGAACTAGAAGAAGCAGCAATTTAGCAATTTGTGAACTAGCTTGCCTACCCAACTCATGCTAATATTATCACCTCAGAATAAATGCAAATCTTGTGCTATATCCAGAACATTTATTTCTTTTCCTCTCTGGATAATAGGGTAGCAAATGTAATTGGTAATATCTGTTTCCACGTCAGGTTTCTGGCAAGCTGGATTCTGCTTCTGGCCCTTGCGGTTTTGATGTGTCCCTGCTGCAGCAAGCAGGGCCCAGCGCTGGGATACTCCTGCATGGGAGCTGGTGGCCGAGGGCATCTGGGCCTTAGCAGCTGGGAGGGACTAGCCACAGAGACTGCAGGGCTCCTCCTTTCTCTCTGGGTCATTTCAAGGTCCTGCTCTTAATCTTCAAAGCTTTTAATTTTCTGAGATTAGGCTGCCTCAGGATCTACCCCTTTGCCATGCTGAGGCTCTTGGACTCATCAGGGTCACTGAAGCTCACTGAACTCTGAAGGAAGGATTTGGTGGCTGGATAATCATGGCATTTTTAAAATTTTAGATCCTAAGCTGTGGAATCGCCTATTAAAAGTGACTAGAATGTGCTGTAATCTGCTGTTTTCAACATCATTTGCCTAAATGTTCCTGTTTGCTCTAAAAAGGCTGTTTTTTTTTTCTTTAAACACTGATGAAAGTGATTTATTTGATTACGAGTGATTTGTGATAACATATCTGTCAATAGCAGGGCTACAAAAGGTGTACGTGTGTACGTTCACTTTCAAAAGAATCCTAGAACTTATTATACTGAAAATATGTTTTGATGGTTGCTATTCATAGCTGCAGAATCTAAACTTGTATCCTAGGAAGATGGAAAAAGCTCAACGCACTTCTTACCCTATAGGGCTTACTTTGAGCAGAATGTGAACCAAGGCAGGACTGCTTCCTGTTTTCCTAGCTTTGACTGCTGCTGTTTGCACCTTGGGAGATATTTGAGCCATTGGGAGATAAAGAGGGGATGGAGGAGGACTGGGCCGTTTTTGCTCTGAGATAGTTGGGATAAAGCAGGGCCAAGCATGGAGGCTCTCCACTGAAACTGGGTCTGCAAAAGATGTGAAAGTCCAGATATTGATAGTTTCTTTTCAAGTCTTAAGTGTATTATTTCTTTTTCTGTTTTCTAGCACAAGTAATTTTGGGAGTCCCTCTTTGTGTGCTGCTTGTAGAGTGGAGGTAGGCTAGGCTGCCTGTTTCTTTAAGGTACCTGTGATGGATAACAATCTTAATGATCTTTTCCTTTGTTTGTGGGGGATCTTTCTGTAGTGAGCAAAAATTCTCAAGAAATTTATGTTTAAATTACCATATAATGGTCCAAGTTCTTTTTATGGACATGTCTTAACAGATCCTGAGGAGAGCACGCAAGGTACACAGCTCCAAACCACAGAACACAAAAACTTCTTGAAATAGCACGCTGCTGTTCCTCGGGGGAATACATTTTCAAAGCTTTTATTTAACAGATTATTTTAAAGTACCTCTGACAAATCATTTCTGTGTTGATGCTTTTTCATCCTTTAGACTGCTTCAGATGAGTTATGCTGGTTGAACCCCATTTAAATAGTATTTCACACGTTTTTCTATCTCTATTTTATTCATTCTGGACTTGATTCAGACACTTTTGAGGATAATGGAGTCTTGCTGGATTTTTTAATATTCTTTGATATTATTGCATGATATTTTTTTGCCTGCCTAGACTTTGCTTAGTCTAAAGCAAAAAGCAAAACTGTGGGAATGAAAACTTTTATTATGTCATTTCTTTACCTCAATTGCCGAGGAAGTTACAGATGCATTCAAAGGTTACTTTAGCTTTTGTTTGATTAAAAATGATGGGGATCATTTTCTGAAGCAGTACCGCAAGCTAGCAGATTGTGCACTGCTTTTGCTTCTTTTGTATTTTGGATGGAGTATTATCCACTGTTGGAAAATTCAACTTCCGATGAATTTGTCTACAATTTTGTCTTGATCTCATTTCACAGGTGCCTGGGAAGACAGTCATGGTGGTGTTATAAAAAGCTGTTGCATTGTTTACTTTTTGCAACAATTCATCTGTATTTTAAAAAATGCATTTTTTAAATGTGTTTATATATATTTATATATATATATGTATAAAATTCTGTGGTAGTTATTACGTAGACCAAATAGAGAATCTGAAAAATGCCATGGATGATTATAATAAAAAGCAAAAAATTAAAAGAACTTTTTAATTTAAAATGAAAATACAATCAAGACTTTTAAATCAAGAAGAGTGAATTAGTTTGAAGCTAGTTTATATCCAGAGTAGGTGAAATGTGGAAGTTCTTCTCGTCTTTTGTGTAAGGCATTCACTTATTTATCTCTTGCCGTCTTGTATCTGAACACCTGATATAAGGATATAAGGGATACAAAACCTAATAATTTTAGAAGAATATGATACTGCATGGGCCTGAGTGACAACGTTAGTCGAATGACTCTGCTTTTGATGTCAGCTCTGCTGCATCTTGAATAGCCTGGTGTGTTTAAGGATTTCCCTCCTTGTGACCCTCCTGTTGTTTCTCATGCTCTTTGATTAGAGTTTAGATCTATTCAGGCTG